CCACTAGACCAGCGCCCCCCCACTCCCACAAGGACCCCACCACCAGGACCCCCAGTGTCTCACCACCAAGACAGGTGACATCAGAGACTCTACTGAGAAGTTTAAAGACGTGGCTGTTTGTCAGACTCTTCAATCATTCAATCAATCAATCAATCAATCAATCAATCAATAAATAAAGCTCATGTTAGATTTTTACCTGCTGTCATTATGTCTGACTTCAGGTTGTGTTTCGGACAAACAACCTTTACTATGTTCTGACATTTTATGGGCCAAACGATTCATTGATTATTTCGGAGAGATCATTATTGGCAGCAATAACCAGTTATCAATAACCACGTGTCCTGACAGGCCAGGAAGAAGTGGCTGAGACTCGACGTGTTTTTCCCTCAATAATAAATACTGGTTCAGGTTTAAGCTCCGCCCCCTCGTACAGTGACCGGTATAAACAGGAAACTGATGTCACTGCTGATCTCAGACCTGCGGACCTGAGAGCAAGAACCATGAATTTTCACTCGTCAAATCGTCGGCCATCTTGAAAATCTCTGAACAAGCTGCAGTTTCATCCTGTTACTGATCGTTTAGTTCTTGGTTCATCAGAGAGAAGAGCGGCTCAGAGCCTCCTCTCTTCTGATTGGCTGAGCGGCTCAGAGCCTCCTCTCTTCTGATTGGCTCACCGACCTGTTGTTACTAGAGCTCCAGAGAGAAGCCTGAGAGAGGAGATGTAAAACTACACTGAGATGGTTTTTATATCTTCTGATGGATCAACACTTCAAATAAAACACAGAAGAAGAAGAAAGCTTTAAATCTTGAATTTGGTGGTTTGGTTTATTTTGGAAACAACATAAAGTCTTTCAGTGACAGGACGGCGGGTTCAGACCGATCAGCTCTGACTCAGAGCTCAGAGGTCAGTGTCTCGTGGTGACGACAGCAGCTGCATCAACGTTCATTATCAGGGTCTCATCCTTCAGAGGCGTCACGTCACAGCGACTACACCGTCCCATTTCAAAGCCTCCTTCAAATGATCCAACAGGTGGATCCTTCATGGACCAACATATCCCAAGATTCATAGCACGCCGGTAACGAGTATTGTGCTTCGGTACAACTGTTACAACCAAGAGACTCAAAACAGAAAGTTTCTGTACAAAAAAGTTACATGTTGTCGAGGTTGCTAGGCAACAGGAAAACACAAAACAGCGACAAAGAGACAAGAAATGGCCACAATGGCGAGTCCGTGCGACCTGTTGTCTCACAATCCTTCTGTGTCTGAATCTCCAGATCAAACACAGAGCACAAGAACTCGGTGCCTCAAACACCAGCAATTAGACGGATCCAACAGAAGAAGGTGAAACCGTCCCACAGGGTTTAGAAAGAGTTGGACTGAGGATTTCTGAGGCTGCGTCAGATCTGAGCGCGACAGGTCGATCGTTTCAGAAAAGTTCATTCAGCAGCAGGTTGTGAAGAGAATAATTACTGGAGTGAAAATGAACTCGTGGCTTCATTAAACTAAAGTTCAGAGTCTCTGCTTCAAACTGGTAACTGCTCATTAACTGAGAGCTATCTGCATAACACACACACACACACACACACACACTGAGCGGATGATAATGCATCCATTGTGAGAGTTTGTTTAACGAGGAGGAAGCTCTGGATTGTTTATGGATGTGACAGTCGGACGTCTTCGTGTCTCTGCAGCTCCGTCTGGTCACTTTTCATTTTTTAACAATTTAAAAATATTTTACAAGGAAAATGAAACAACACACACAGAGCAGCAGAACGAAGGCGGGAACATTTCCTACTCCACTGTTCACTGTTCTCCCGTTTCTCTCGTTCAGGAAACCTTTCCCTCCTCCCGCTGAACGCTCGTCTGTTCTCGTCTGAAAATAACCTGCAACGTTTCCATCGATCGACCGTCACACAGCAGAGCTGCTGCAGACGTGACTGATGGTTGAACCTCTAATGAAAGAGCTTCACTGTCACATGAAACGTCCTGGAAACAGAAATGAAGCTTCAGAGAATATCTATGTGATTTTAAAACATATATATTTTAATGGAAAATGTCTTTTTTTTGTATTTTGCGATTTTTAATACATTTATAAAATATCTATATTTTTAATTTCAGGTTTATTATGACATGTTTTAGAAAAATGCCAAAAACATTTTATAACAATTCAACAATTTTTAATTTTAGGATTTAATTTTTTATTTTTTTTTAAGGATTCTTAAAATATTTTAATGCCAAATGTTTTATTTATTTTTATTTTTTAATGTTTTACAAAATGTTTTTTTTTTTAAATTAGGGGATTTTAAGAATACTTTTTATGTTTGGATTTTTGCCAAAATATTTTATAACATTTCATATTTAAAAGAAGCAGGTAGCAAGGCTCAGTGTCTGAATACAGGCTTTGATACTTTCTCAGTATTAATATAGAAGCTAGAGCTGATCTATAATCACACTACACATGGACACAGACCTTTACACTGGAGGAGCTTTAACACATATATTTACATTTTTATATTTTTCAATAAATGTGAACGTTTTACCATTTTCAAATCCAATATTTCATTGTTGATTTTTTAGGTTTCTGAAAACACAAACATGAAGATGTGGACACAAACAAACACACACACACACACACACACACACACACACACACACACACACAGAGGCATGCAGGGAAACATTCCTGCAGGAACACATACGTACACGCATGCATGCACACCCACTTCAGCTGTAATAAGCAGGCTGCGTTTCTGAAAGAGGACGGCAGCGATTATGTAACCGCTGGATCTCTCTCACACACACACACACACACACACACACACACACACACACACACACACACACACACACACACACACACACACACACACACACACAACACCAGGCTGCAGGAACAGTCTGTATGATATGAACTGTAAAATGAAAACAGGCTGAATCAGAAACCGTCGAGGTTCTGGACTCGAGTCCTGACACGTCAGTCTTCAGTCCTCGACTCTCAGTGATTCTCACGTCTTATTAATCTGTTAATTATCTTCTAAATGAATCTATTATTTGTTTGGTTCATAAAATGGACCGGAGCCCGAGGACACGTCTTCAAATGTCCAAAACCCAACGTTACTGACAACAATGAAGGTCCAGACTGAGAATCAATAAATAATGAAGTATTAATTAGGCAGAAGTGACCTCATGCTACTGGTGATTGATGGATGAGCTAAGCTGCAGCTGCAGGACGGTGACCAGCTGTGGGTCCAGCCTGGCATCTGGATTTGTGGGAGGAGCAGAGGGAAGGAGCTTCCTGTCTTACCTGTACAGTGTCCGTAACGTTTTCCCGCCACGCTGTCCAGCATGGCGAGGGTCAGGTTGTCTGGAGTGTCAGGGTGAAGAGGTGTCCCGCCTCCTCCTCCTCCTCCTCCTCCTCCTCCGCTGGTCTCTGTGATCAGGCTGGCCTCAGAGCTCTGCTCGTCACTGGACAGAGACGGACTGCGGACGTCTCCTCCTCCAGAACCAGAACCGGAACCAGAACCGGAGCCGGAGCCGTTAGCGCTGCTGGGCACCGTCACCAGACCGGTCCCAGTAGCTGAGGGCCAGGAGGGGGGGTCCTCACTGTCGGGGCTGCAGGGGTCAAAGTGTTAAAATATTTGATCAGAAACTCACAGTTTTCCAGGATTTTCAATCCAGAAAATATTCCCTCAGTTGCTGATGAAATTTACTGGCTGACCCGTGAAGTTGGTGAATGAAATAATAATATATATAATAATACAAGTGACGTGGCTGCTTCTGACCTCCCCCACCCCCCACCCACCCCCAACAGACCGAATGGAGTTCATCGAAGTTAATGAAAGTAAAACAAATGAAAAAAACACGTCTTACTAAATTCACTAAGTTATGGTTAAAATGTGTTTACAACAGGTCGTCTGTCAGCAGGTTGTTATGACGTCATCGTTAGGTTCTGTTGCTAGGCGACATCTAGTGGTCGGAGTGATGATGACAGGAGCGAAGGGAAGAGTGTCGGTGACGTAGTGTAAAGAGAGACAGAGCCCACGTCAGGAGGAGGAGGTGGTGGATGTGACAGGAGAGCCGTGTGTTCGATTCCCATGTTGTTTCTATTATCCATGATTGTTTGTCGTTATTACTGTAACCATGACAACAGAGCTCGTCTAATGTTTAGGAAGAACTTATTCTAACCCAAACCAGCATCTTTTCCTGAACCTAACCGAGCCACGACGGTTATTATAGTAACCATGGCGACAATCGGTACGGCGCCGTCGGTACAGTGGAGTCTTTATTATGGTAACCATAACAACAGGTTCGTTACGCCTGCCGCCTGTAGGGGCGCTGTCTCCAGAGACGTTGCGGTGGGTGGAGTCAGAGGGTCGACGGTCTCGGACACATTACAGTCAGCGTGTCGTCTGTTGGTTGGACACGTGTGTTTATACGTTTCTAGTCTTTTCCTTTTCTCTTTCTGGAACTTACTGGATTGACTGACATGGGTTAAATACGTCCTTTAAATACATCCTTTCTCAGATGTAAAACTTTCTATTGAATACATTTTGTTTATGAAAAAGGAGAAAGGAAGTCTTCTTCTTCTGCTCTGTAACAGCAGCTGTTTCTCTGGAACTGCGATGGCACTGAACCCCGTTATTAAACTACAGGCCGGAGCATCGATCAGCTCCGACGTTAGAAATGAAGACAATAGACTTCCTGTTTATTATTGCAACATAAAAGTTCTCTCGCTCATTTCATCACCAACTCCGTTTCTGATTCACACATTCGTCTATGAATTATGCATCTTCCTGCTCATCTCTCTCTCTTTAATGTCAATCATTACACAAGTGAAAATAAAGCAAGGCTCATTCTGTTCTGAATTTTTTTCTTTTAAAGAATGACCGTACCGGTAAGAACCGTTAAAGTACCGGATGGATAAGTGGTATCATTAAAGTAGTAGAACCGTAAACGATACTGTCCCTGTCTAACTGGTGAAATGTTCCCAACCATCCACTAAAGGAAGAACTGTAACAGTCCAGATGATTCAGTTCCTCTTCACTGACTGAACAGGAACATTTCTGACATTTTAGCTTTAAAAATGTTTCATTGACACAGCTGCTGATTCAGTCAGTGACCAATCAGTTAATCAGTTAATTGACAAACTGGTTCAGCTCAGCATTAATCATGGAGAACCTCTGTAGAACTAAAACACACTGAAGCTGGACCACACATGTAAATATCTGATGATAATAAAACCTTAATAAATAAAGAAATAAATATATTAAATAAAAGTATTGGAGTTGATCTGAAGAAGGGCAGAATGGAGTCAGTGGATTTAATCAATCAGCTGCTGGATGACAAGTCCACCTATGTCTCACCTGAACACCTCCCGAGCCTGGCCGCTCTCAGGTGATGTCTCCCTGAAGAAGGGTACGACCCGGGACAGGCTGGCCCTCCGACGGGACGCCCCGGTCCCCCCGCTGGCCTTGTCCGCCACCCCGCCGACGAAGCCTCCGGCCCGGGTCAGCGCCGTGGTCTGCTTCTTCAGGAACTTCTCCAGCGGTTTCATCCCCGCCGGCATGGTGGGACGCTGGGTGGGGTGGTGGTGGGGGGGGTGTTTAAAGGATGATGATACAGGGAGACAGAGGTGGGGGGTGGGGGGGGGGTGTGGTATCTACATCATAACAGCCCCGCAGGTTGGGCGGGGGGGGGACCCAAGCAGAGGTTTGAAGGGTCGGGAAAAAACACGGGAAGAAAACTCCGAGGCTCAGCCGAGCGGCTTGCTCTGGAGGGAACAAAACCGATTTTAACCCATTGGTGAAGGCGGGGGGGGAGAGGGGGTGAGTGGTGGTGTAGGCCGGTAGAGAGTCCTATCCTCTCTCTCTTTGGATCACTGCACCGAGACCCAACCCCCCCGACCCCCCCATCCTATCTGCAAAAAATCTCCCAGAAACCTGCTCCGTGCGGCGGCGGCTCTCGGCCGCTCCTCCCGGCTGCACCGCGTCCTCTGCCCCCGCTCTTTGCTCTCTGCAGCCGCCGCGTAAACACCGAGCTCCGACGCCGAGCGACCGATCCCTCGGCGGAAAAACCCCAAACAGAGCTCTCCCTGTCCGCCCTGCGCCTCCGCAGCTCCCCGCTGGTTCCTCCGTGAGGTGAACCGGGACTCCGGGGCCGTGTTATTTCACCGGTGGCCGGTTTCTCCGTGATATCTCCGACACGAATGACGGCGGATCGACGCTGGAGGATTTTTTTTCTCTTCCTCCTCACACACCTGGAGGAGGAGAACCCGCCCGGCCCGGTGCGTTTGGGTGTTGTGGGTTTTCTCAGCAGCGGCAGGAGCGGTGGCGGGTTGTGTTTTTTTCAGGTCAGATACTGCAGAGGCTCCGACGGTCCGCCCGCCTCACGGTCCCCCGGCTCAGCAACACACAGCCGAGCTCTCTCTACCTCTCTCTCTCTCCTCCCCTTCTGCTAAATTAGTGGAATGAGAAGTGACTCGTAACATTCACACCCTCCACCCCACCCGTCCCACGCTCATGATCTGGCTGCAAAGTTGCAGGCCGCTCCAACAAGCCGCCTAAGAGCGGGCGCGCGCCTGCATGCACATTTTAACTTCCAGTGCTGTAAAATTGATGGAAATGGAAATATCCCTGACGACAGGCAGCGGGTCGGTTCATCAGGGGAGAGAAGTTACTCTGGACGTTTAGTTTCTGACACAAAACATTCATTTCATTCAAAGCCACAGTGGCGGGAAAGTAACGCAGACCTTTTATTTAACAGCATCAACCCCAGTGTCAAAATAAGATACTCCATTAATCCAGCAGTGTGAAAGTGTATAAATATCATCAGAGAAATAACTATAAAAAATAAAAGCACTTACTATACATGTATGTGTGAATATCTATATACCTATGCACATGCTTAGACACCCCTGAAGTGGACCATACCATTTCTTCACCTGGTCTCCCTCCATCAGTGGCTTCTGTACAAGGAAACTGACACAGTAGGTGAATGTATTAGCAGTTGCTGACTAGCTAGCTTGTTTAATAAACTTTACTTTCGTACCGTCAGTTTCTTAATTAGATTGTGTCAAATATCTACAAATGAACGCTAATGTTAGCCAGTTTCTAACTTTAGCCTTAAGTTACAGTTTAGCTAACTAATGTCAGCTAGTTTCCAACTTTTGCCTTAAGTTAGTTAACATAACTAATATTAGCTAGTTCCTAATTTTAACCCTATGTTACAGTTTAGCTAACTAATGTTAACTAGTTTCTAACTTTAGCCTTAAGTTACAGTTTAGCTAACTAATGTCAGCTAGTTTCTAACTTTTGCCTTAAGTTATGGTCAAGTGCCTAATGTTAGCTAGTTCCTAATTTTAGCTCTATGTTACAGTTGAACTAAAAATAATAATATAAAATAATAATAATAATGATTGCACAACCCCCCTACACATTCTTTTGTTAAAGATATGGATGGATTGACTATGGAGGCCTAAAACTGCCATTATAATTAATAAATAAAGGAGGAGAAAGTCATACAGCTCATTTAAAAGTAGGGACATCCTGATGACCCTGATCTGTCTTTTAATATCAAGTATTTTTTTCACCCAACCTTTCTTTAAATCTCAAAGAATCATTGAGGCTATGCCCTCATCGCCTACGAGAGTAAACGTAAAACAGAATAAAAACACAAAGATAACTCAGTTACATTCCGAAGCGGAGCAGTTTGTCATCATGGTTTTAAACTGACTGATACTGTCAGTACAGTTGGACACGAGGCTGTAAAGGACGATGACGTTAAACGTCCCCATCAACCTCTGTCTCTCATTTAGAGGCTTGTTAGCAACCGAGACATAAAAAAGATTCAACAAATCAACTCCGGGGTATTTACTCGTGTTTTATGTCATTGAATAAAATGTCTTACGATTTTTCTAAATTGGCTTTTTTAAGTGAGGACATTTTGAAATGTGCCATTTTCAGAAAGTGAGGATATTTTACAAAACTGGGGATTTTTTGTCCAGTTTTCACTTTCTCAAAGAAAAGGTTAAAGGTCCCGTCTTGGTTTTAGTGTCACTGTTAGAATCAGGATGGACTGTTAGACCGGGGGACTAGAGACACTGAGCATCTTCACCAGTTTAGAAGTAAAACTGTTTGTTTGTCTGTGTCAACATCAACATGTAAACATCTGCTGACTATTGATTCCAAATAGTCACATGACCCTTTATTGATCTGTGTGTGCATGGTCATTATGTGTTCGTGCAGTAACCTGATCAGGTTTCGTCACAGTTTCACAACCGCAACAATCAGCTGAACGGCAAACCGTAACTCGACACACATGGACGGACTCCACTCATCAGCATCTTCCTCCTCCTCCTCCTCCTCCTCCTGGAGGAGCAGTCTGCAATATGTTACTGTAAACTGACACCAGCTCCATCATTGACCTGAGTACAACACAACAGAGAAGCTCAGTACAAACATACAGGAGGTTCAGCTCAGCATCACGGCTGCAGAAAATTCTGATATAGTGAAAAGTTCGACTGTAAAGATACAAAAATAAAATGAATGAGAGAGAAAACCGGTAAAAGCTGTGTAATGACGGAGGGAGACGTCAGATAAAACATCATGAACTAGTGGAAGCTCTACAGCAGCTTTATGGATTTCTTGTTTTCAAACAATTCAACAGAAGTGAGTAATGATTCAGGGTTATTTAATACCTTTGAGTAGAAAGACGTTAACTACATATGTGGATAAATAAAGACCATGATTAAATTTCAAGGTTTACTCACAGGTAAAGAACAAGTGAACCTTCAGATTTTCTACAAGTTTTATATTTAGGTTAAAACAACTGAGGGAAAGATCTTGTGTAAAGGTAAAAAAAAAAAACGTGTTTTATTTACTTGTTGAAGTAAAAGCCAAACCTCGTCCAGTTCTTATGTGTTATTACACTTTGTTTTCAGTATTAAAGACAGTGACGCAGGGTTCTTGTGTTGAACGAACTCAAACCCCGAGGGAGAGATTTAATAACAGGTAAATTCTCTGGAGGGAAAAGCAGTCGCAACGACCAACTACTGTTTATATGATAAAATGCAAACATCGCCATCATGAGGGTCGAGGACACGGTTGATACTCTGTCATGATAACAGCAGCGATGTCGCACAACAGATCAGCTGATTGAATTCTAGAGGAACTTATTGGATAAATATTTACAACTTGAAGATGAAAGACTGATTTTATTGACAATAATTGACTGTGAAAGTATTAAGTAGTGAAGTGAAGGCCGCTGTCTGAGGAGCAGAAACTAGTCGATTTGTTTATTCATACAGTTTGTTGATGTGTTGAGACTGAGAGTTAAAGGGTTAAATGAAAGAGAAATGAGCGGTTTGGTCCATTACCAGCTGAGCCTCTTTGTGTCCAGCAGCTGCTGCTGAATATTCATGAGGAGGAGAGACTGTGTGCAAGCCGATTGGCTGTTGGGGCCTGTCAATCATAGAGTTTACATAAGTGCTCCCCACCCCCTCCAGGTTATAAATATTCATGTTAACGAACAGAGAGAGGAGCAGGTGTGTGTGTGTGTGTGTGTGTGTGTGTGTGTGTGGGGGGGGGATTAAAGAAAGTAAAGATGGGAAGAAAGTGGGAATAAAGAAAGAAATAATAAAAGAAAAAATTAAAAAGGGGTCAGATAAGAAATAAGAAATGGTAAGACAGGAGTAAAGAGAACATGTGCCAGAAAGGACAGGAAAAAGAAAGGCAAAGAGAGAAAGAAAGAAAAGAAGGGAGGTGAGGTAAAGGAGAGAAAGGAAGAAAATATGAAAGAGGAAAAGAAGGAAAGAAAAGAAATAAAGGGATGGAAAAGGATAAAAAAGGAAGAGGTAGTTTTTCTTTCAGATCAAATTAAATCTTGGACTAAGCGATAAACTTTCATTTTCTCTCCGGCAGGAAGTGAACAGAGACGCAGGTTTCATCATCATCACGTTCTTTATTGATCCTCAGTGTGGACGACATCGTTCTCCACGTACATACTCATCATCATCATCCTCATCCTCATCCTCATCATCATCATCATCATCATCGTAACATCGAAACAAACAGCACTGTCGTCACAGTGAACAGTCTGGTCAGCTCAGGTCAAAGGTCAAACACTCGGGCAGCAGTCAGCTCACTCTCAACACAGGAGGTGGATTCATTCAGACAATTTACATCCAACATGAAGAATAACGTCATTAAAGAACATTTTGTAACCGTGGTAACAATGACATCCATTCAAAAAGACTTGATCAATACAAATCCATCGATAACCAATGATCAATCGTCACCTCTCTGAGCTGGAGCGCTGAAGCCGCCGTCACAAACAGGTCACACCCCCTGTGATAAGGCAGGGGGGGGTGGATCAAACGTGTCCAGACGTGCCCCTCCCCCTCCCCCCTCCCTCCTCCTTCAAGCCAAAGTGACACTGAAGATTTGTAGAAATCGTTGGATGATTTTTTGTTTTTTTGAATCATCTCATCTTTCTGTAAATCTCAAATTAAAGCACCTGCTCAGGGTTTAGAAGATCTTGCAGAATACTGGAGGTAACGTTTAAAATAAAACCTGCAGTGTCTTACAGTTAGATTTATCTAGTCAGATTTGGAGCGGCGGGAAAACAGAGGATAACTGCGATGACTGATCATCAACACAACGAGACCGAACAGGAGACGCGACCATGAACGCCTCATTCTTAAAGTCCAACAACAAAAATCAAACGGAGGAAGAGAGACGGAGTTAAACACTAACTGGTGACCTTTAGTTTGATGAAGTGGTTTCCTCAGTGTGCGTTTGAGGGTGTCCATTCACTAATAATAATAATAATAATTATAAAAAAAACAGTATTGAGTGACATTATTTCAAAAACAGGAAAATACAAAACAGATCATAGCTAAAGCCACACAGCTCCTTCGTCGTCGCTACTTCTCTAAATTATCTCCATCGTTAACATTCGAGGTCCCTGCCGATGCCTTTAGAATCAGAAGCCCACTGCTCTGTAGCACTAGTAGTTTTATTAGAATATGTTTCTGCTCTATTTTATCTGTTCAAGCTTCTATATACACATTTAGATTTCTATATACAGCATCAGTAACCCCCACCCACCCCCCCACGCCCACCATACCACCCAGCAGCAGCTTCTGGCTTTTTGTGCAACGTTTGTGTCAATAATCAAACTTTCTGTTCATCAGGAGGGAAAAGAAATCAGGAAATAAAACACTGTTCAGAGAAACTGAGTTTTAAAGGGCTACTCCGCTGATTTTCCATGTGTACGTCACTTTAACAGTGTCTGTTACCATGGCAGCATCTCACCACATACAAAGAAAAAAAAAGGAAACAGTCCAAAGTGCGGCAGCATCGTGTGTCAGGCGGTTTTGTATTTGTTCGTTGTGTACAATGTTCACCTGGTGTTCGCTGTGTCTGCTAACGCTAACGCTAACACTAGCTAACAGCCGTCTGCAGGCGTCAGGCTGATGCTCAGAAACACAAACAGGAGACTGATTAGTGAGAGACCTTTCAGCTCCACCTGTGTTGACACTGATTATGAACCTGGAGGTCTGATTTACCTCGACAGTAAACAGCTGTGAGAACCTGTGCAGGTCGTCTCTCACTCTCTTATTCTGCACAATAAAATGTCCAGGTTTTACTTTGTCAGCTGATCTCAGCCAGTTGCACAAAAAGTCTTTTCCTTAAGGTTTCCATAAAATGTTCACTTAAACATTTGAGGTTTTTCTCCTTATCTTGCTCTTATCCTTAAAATAAAACATAAAAAAACTTAACTGCGACGTGTCCGGGTGTAATGTGAAAAATGAATGGGGCCGGTTGCACAAAACACCTTAAGATTTTCCTTAAAGACTGAGTTAAGGTTTCCTTAGAATAAAAGACCTTGGAGACAAAGTAAGGAACTAAACTTAACTGCAACACGTCTGAGTTTAATGTGACGATGAAGAAAATGAAAACGTCCTGAGAAGAGTGGGAGAACGAAACGGACCCTTAACGATGAGCAACTGATTTTACATCACAGGTTTCAGCTGATCACTCCACTTTCCTCAGCTTAAAGAGCTCTACGGTTTTATGTCACATGATCTTTGTGGTCAGTTGTAGCTCCAGTCAGTTCAGCGGTGTGTCGGGTTTAAACGCTCTGATCTTCAGCTGAACAACGGCAAAACAACCGGAGGACGAGACAGCGTTCCCTGATTCCCAAAACAGGTATGAGCTAATGTCAGCAAACAAACTGTCTCCATGGAAACAGTAAAGTCTCTTTCACTGCTGCAAATTTCTTTAAAGGTTTAAGTTAGTTAAGAAAAGAAAGTTAAGTTATTCTGTGCAACACTCTTTAGTAAGCCCCTCAGCTAAGGAGAAATTAAACCATAAGTGTCAAACTTAAGGTGTTTTGTGCACCTGGCCCCTGGGTTTTGTTTCCATAGTTACTGAGGCAGAAATGACAGTAACCACGAGGTTGGATCAGTTTTAAGTCAATTTTCTGTTAAAACCAAATGTGGATCCGAGTCTTCTTTTTTTAACCATGTCACCTGAACATCTTCAGGTTTGACAAACAAAACATTTGAACTTTCTGCCTTTAGCTGCAGTTTCTGCTACAAACTTCAAATCTTATCTCTAACTTTTAGCTTTTAATTTGAAAACCTGGGACAGTTTTACCTTGTTGGTAATTTTCAAATGAGAATATGAAATTTACATGACACCTGTGATGAGGGATGACAAGACGGCACTGTTTATTCTCATGTGAGAATAAACTGAAAATTTCACTCACATTATCTTGACCCACAGGAAATAAATCCAGAATATAATCTTAATGAACAGATATGGAAAATAATCGTTTTAAAAGTTTTATGTTTTAAATAACGCAGTTGTTTGAAGGACATTTTGAAGTATTTAACTCCTCCTGTCAAAGTGTATTTTATATTACAACAGCTGTGTTTTACTATATTGTCATTCATCATCAGCCTCCACTGATGAGTCCACAGGAGACAGAGCTGCTGACAAACTGATTAACACTTGGATCAAATTATAACAACATTACAATCTGTTATGAACCATTTATGAAATGTTGTTAAACTGATTATAGATGAATGACGTAACGTCGTGAGAGCAGAAAAGCTAAAACAACAGCAGAGCTTCAGGTGCAGAAGAGGATTTCTGCCACATGTGAAACGTTTATTTGGAAAAAATGAAAATTCAGTTTAAAGTTAGAAAAAAAAAAAAAAAAAGAAATCAGATGTGGCCTTGACCCTCTTCAATGTTGAGGTGTAAGAACCGTCTGTGACAACGTGTAGAGGCCAACCAGCTGTGGACGAGTTACCATGACACCGAGCTGCACTCGCACTGATCCTCGAACTGGGAATGAACTCCACTTTCTCTCTAGTTGACTTCTGTTTTTATTATCGTTTTATTGTTAAACCTTTCGTATTAACAGTTTAACTACGATGGATGTGGAAAATGAAAACATGAACCTTCTGTTTCCTGTTTCAGCAAACAGCTGACGTACAGTAAAATAACTGGATAACAAAGAGAAACTCAAAGCTTGTACTGCCTGTCACCGGCTGTTTCACCGTGAAAAGGAAAAGACAAAAACACCTTGAACCAGACTTTCTCTTTTCGTCTCAGCACATCAGCTGCAGCGTCTCGCCTTCGTCCGTCCGACTCCAGACGTTAAACGCTTCAGTGTCTCTAAAGGGTCTGAACTCATCAGTCCGACAGGCAGCCTCTTTCTTTTTTAAACATCTTTAGCTTCAATGTTAGAAGACACGTTGGCGGGATCGAACCTGTGAGTTACAGAACAGTCTGACTATGATACGTCTCCAACACAGCCGGTCCGCCTGACTGCTACAGGGTCAAAACTAAAAAGGGGCAAAAAGGAAAAGTTCCACCAGTGATGCTGTGGGTCACCTGCAGAGTCCGTCCTCGCCTCCGTCCGTCCACCCGTTCGTCCCTCCCTCGTTACTGTTGGTGGCTCCTGTTGGGGACCGCAGCTCCTCACCGACCCTCCCACCCGCTCCTGCAAACAGGTCAGAGAAACGCCTTCATTTGACTGTTTCCACCGGGACGTCCACAAACACTGTTCGTTTCCATAGTAACTCAAAGGACAGGTTCAGAGGCCTGGGTCTCTTTCCACTAGGGATGGGGATCGTTACGATTTTAACAGTTCTACTGCTTATTGATACTCTTATCGGCCCGGTACTTTAACGGTTCTCTTATCGATCCGGTACTTTAACGGTTCTCTTATCGGGACCTTTTTGTTACTTTGAAAGAAAATTAAAAATAAGAAAATTAAGAAGAGAATTGGCGCTGCTTTATTTCATCACATGAAGTCAATTAACATTCTTGAGTAGTTACTGTTTCATCAGCAGCCCCCACATCACTAAAACCCTGTGATGTGCTCCTGATCTTAATGGTTTGGTTTTAACTCTGACAGTAAGACATTTTTGTTTTTTCATACTGTGTTTGGCTGCACATATTCAGAGTCAGAATAACCTCATCTAATTCTATATGTCACTCAACAAAGACTTCTGCTCACGTCTGTCTGAATTGTTCTGGAGGTGATTTCAAGTTCCTGTCTTTATCTGATCAAGAGTTATTTTCATTCTCTGAAGCAGGATTCATGGAAAATATCTAAATCTGACTGATCTGTTTCTGTCTCTACAATAAACTCAGAACAACTTCTCACAAGTAAAACTGCACTGCTCCCATTCAGTCATCCACTGGAGCCAATAGGAATATCTGCGACTCTAGATGTCACTGGCAAAGAATGTGGATGAGAATCGATCTATAGAGAGAGAGAGAGAGAGACAGACAGAGAGAGAGAGACAGACAGAGAAAGAGAGAGACAGAGACGAGAGAGACGACAGGACAGAGAGAGACGAGACGACGAAGAGAGAGAGAGAAGACAGAGAGAGGTAGGCAGACGAGAGAGACATGACATGAGAAGATCAGAGAGATGCGAGAGAGAGAGAGAGACAGATCAGAGAGAGACAGACAGAGAGGACAGAAGAGAGACAAGAGAGAGAGAGAGACAGACTCAAGAGACAGAGAGAGGAGACAGAGAGAGAGAGAGTAAGGACAGAGACAGAGAAGAGGACGGACAGAAGAAGTGAAGAGAGAGAGAGACAGAGAGCAGAGAGAGGACAGAGACAGAGACAGAGAGAGAGACAGAGAGAGAGACAGAGACAGAGAGAGAGAGAGAGAGAGAGAGAGAGAAATGCTTCAGACAAACAGTAAAACTCCAAATATTTCATAACTTTTAGTGTCAGTATCTTGATCGAGGTCAGAGACTCTCACGGACGAAGCGACTTGATAGAAAGCGCCAATCGTCTCGTTCAGGGAGAAACTAACGGCAGGCGGAGGACTGACGCTCTGAAGACGACGTGATATTTGTATACGCTCCCTCTGGCATCCGGACGTTAGTATAAGTCGAGTCCTGCACGCCGACAGTTTTCCAACCTTGAAGCTCAGGACCAGGTGGGACCTGTTCCCCGCAAACATCTCTACACCGAATCCAGACCAGGTCCAACCTGGACCTTCACTGACCCGCCACACTTCTACGAGCTGGTGAACCGTTTTACCAGAACAGAATCCTTGTTTTATAAAGCTGGTCAGTGAGTCACAGCTCCCACGACATCACGGCTACAGGTGAGGAGGCGGTGTGCTCACCTGCAGTTTTCCCATCAGAGTGGGGCCGAGACTGGGTGGCGGGGAGGGGTGAGGGGCGGGGTCACTCTGAGGCAAAGGGCACCTCTGGAGGGGGGGGCTTGACGGTGACGGGCTGGGATGTGCGGCGGGGGGGTGAAGGCTTGGGCTGAGCCTGCTGCTGCACCGTGTCGTAGTACGTCACGCCTCCATAGGTCACCTGGGACTGACCCTGACACACACACACACACACACACACACACACACACACACAAGGATTAAAGTTATGTTCACAGTCACTGTGTGTTTCCCTTCAGTCTAATGGATAAAAACTACTTTCAGACATTTCAGACAAAACCCGTTTTAAACTAAATGATTTACACAAAATCATAATCACAATTACTCTGATCAATAATTGAGATCAGGATTATTCGACTTTGGGGAAAAAAACTAAACAGAAAGCGTCGTGTCTTGTTGTGCGTTTGTGAATGTGCAAGAAAACGTTTATGTTGCAACAACAAACAGGAAATCTGTTTTGCTAATTTCTTCAGCACCGAGAACAGAACCGACGATGTCGGCTGGTTTCTGTAGGAGGATGAAATCTGTTGTGGGACAGAATGTGGCACAATAATCGTTTTATCATCTTGTTTATATAATCGCTGGAAGACAAAATCATATTGGAAAATAAAATCATATTAATCGCCCAGAACTAACGTGTTTCACCATCATACCAGCCACAATATCACAATATGAAGGATGATCAGACGTCTCGTCACAGACCCGCTGCAGCAGTGTTTCTATATGTGCAGCAGTTCCCAGCAGTGTGTGAAATTACTCTTAATAATGTCATTAAGTGTTTCAGACTCTTGGCGTGTACCTGTGGGTTCGGGTACATGGCAGGATAAGGGAAGGTCATGACGCCCGGCGGAGGGTAGAAAGGCGGTGGCAGAGATACAGGTGGGCCTCCGTAGATGGCGGGGTTAGCGATCGGGCCGCCTGATTGGTGGGGGTGGAGACCTGGGGAGGAGGCACACAGATGAAGCATTTATCAACATTAGTTTTTAACACAGACTCCAGCTTCTGAATCAGGTCAGGAAACCAGACTCCACTGACCGGGGTGGGGGATGTGCATCTCAGGCTGGACCAGCATGCCTTGCGGTGGGATGGGGGCGGGGCCATCCCCATGGGCATAGATTGGTCCCTGGTACGACACTGTGAGACAGAGGGAGGTTAAGAAAGCGATCATGAAGAACAGCTGCAGTTACTGGATTTAATAATATGATTATAATATGATCCATTCCAGCGCTAATCAATAAACCCAGGTTCTGCATGAATAGTGAATCGTCTCCTTCACACTCACTGATGAGTCTGTGTTTTACCAGACGAGCTGTAGCAACAAAGTCTGACTTATTAGTGAAGAAACTGCTGCTAAGCTGCAGTTGTGACGCTGCTCTGAACGTGTGTTGAAGACAGAAAACATGAGCAGAGAAACACAATCTTTTAAAGAGCTGTCATTTCCATCTCATGCACCGTCCTAAATATCTGCAGAGATGGGAGGGATTCTCTGAGTTAAGTTGATAAAATGCTTTTACTTCCAAAGACCCTTCACTTTCAGAATTTTAACAACTTTGGGAAAATAAAAAATGGACCAAACCAGTGAGACCCAGAGGAAAAGTCTGTCTTTTAAAACTCAGGATCAAGGTTCAATCCAGGGAACCACAGGAAGTGTGTTAATCCTTGACCTTACTGCCCTCTGCTGGTGAGTAGGATGAAGTACAACACTGACAGAGACCAGTCTGTTTGTTTCAGCTCCTGATGCTTCAATTTTTGGGGATATTTTATTTTCAAGCCAATTTCCTGGAAACTTTCCTTATAATTTGCTTAAAATATTTATTTGTAAATTAATAGGATATTAATGACGGCCGCAGTAATTTGGTAGTAATGATAACAGTAATACATGTGTTAATTTTGAATGGGTATCCTTTGTGTTAGTTTGTGTTTTTTGAGAGACCTGACTGACACCTCAAATAAAAATAAAACTTAGCAATCGTTACTTAAAGAGTCAAAGTGTCACAGTTTAAACACATATTTTAACCTGTTAAGGTGCATTTCTCATCAGTCTGAGCACAGAGCAGAACATTTTAATTCTGCTCACTTATTCATTTGCACCAGTTGTGTCATCTTTTACTGATTGTGTGTCTCATGTCACGTTATCATCTTACTGGGTTCGTAGTAGTGTCCCTCCATCACACCCAGGTGCATGGGCGGTGCCGGCTCAGGTACGGCTCTCTGGCGTTGGGAGGAGTAGCGTTTGGCCCGATTGGAGGCGACGCCCATTTCCTCCATGCTGGAGAACTGAGGCGGGCCGCTGGGGATGTGCATGGGGTTGGGAAGGCCTGTGGACAGAAGTGTTAATCAGTCTGTGTGGTTCTACTGACGGGTCGGGTTCTCTGTTTTAAATCCTGCTCAGCTTCACGTTACCCTTCAGTACGAGTAGTAACCAAGCATCAACCTCCAGACTGAAACATGAAGCATCAACACCGAAGAACCAGAAGCTGCAGTTCCTCTAATGGCCACTAGAGTCTGGCTCCAACAGTGAGTCAGTCCCCATAGACTCCCATGTTAAAATGTCCAACTTTACAGCAGAAATAAACATGTTTACAGCCTGGTACAGAAACTGTTTTGGTCTCTAGAGCTAATTTCCTCCTTCATGACACCTGTTTATATAACTCACCTGTTTACATTTTATTAAGGACTACAGTTATGGAGGATTGAGGGCGTGGCCTCTTTGAGTGTATGCTTGCACCAAAGTCTCAGCTCCACACAGGCCCCTCCTCTTTGACCATATTTGGATTAGCTGGGAGTTAGGGGCGGAGTCAGACACTGGCCAAGATGGCGACAGTGGAGCAGCTCACTCTGAGCTTCAGAAACCCGTGGGTCACAGAGGCGACAGCCATCTTTATTTAGTCTGTGGTAGTGACCCAGAACCAGCACTGTGAAGACCACATGCTGTGACCCATTCCAACATCTGAGGTGTGAAATGTAGCAGGATATTAATGAAAGGTGCAGGTTGATTCTGATGCTGATGAAACAGAGGGACATTATTTTGAGCAACACTTCTGAAACTACGTGAATCTTCCCTCAGACTGTTCATGATGTTGAGGGGGAAGGTCCCGCCTGATGAAATTTAAATCTGTGGATCATTTTTCACATAAAAAGACAACAGGGGGGGGGGCGTCGTGTGGTGGTCTAAGCAGGCGCCCCATGTGTAGAGGCCACAGTCCTCACTGCAGTCGGCCCCGGCTCGAGTCCCGCATCGGACGGCCCTTTACTGCATGTCATTCCCCCTCTCTCTGCCTCCCCATCTCCTGTCTCTCTCTACTGTGCTGTCATAAAGGCATAAAAAAAGCCCAAAAAATATACTTAAAAAAAAAAAAGAAAAAGACAACAGAGGGAAAACAACCTTCTTGTGCACATGTGCATGTAAAAAGAATTTTTTCTTTGTATGTCAACAGGTGACAGGTGTTGAGAGAAGCCTCCACTCACCTCTCATCTCAGAGCGCATGTATGACGTCGGGCTCTGGCTCCAGCTCTGTCCTGCCAGACTGAGTCGAGCCACGTCCTGGTCCAGCTCCGTCAGTCCTCCTGCTCCTCCTCCTCCTGCTCCTCCTCCTCCTCCTGCAGCCTGATTTGGCCCGTCTCCTGCTCCCGTCCAGCTCTTCCCTCCCACACTGCCGGGGGAGGAGGCGTTCCCTCCGGCCGCAGACTCTTCCATGGACGGCTGTTTGCTGCCCAGGTCTGCGGGCCGAGAGCGAGTCCTGCGAGCCAGTGAGTAAGATTTACGCTCCACTGGCCGCTCGGCGGGAGGAGAGGCTTCCCGATTGGTCGCTGCTGCTGATGACTGAAGGGAGGGGTCAGAGGTGGAGGAGGAAGCAGCTGATCCAGATCTGTCTGCGCTTCCTCGTTGTTCCTGCTGCTGTCGCCTCGGTGAAGCAGACTGGTAACCGCCCGGCTGTGACGATGCCGCCGTCGTTACAGCGCTTACACTCAGGTCCTGTTCCCCAACGCCTCCATGGCTGACTGTAATGTCCTCAATTACCACAGAGGGACCCCCCCTCCCCCCACCGCTACGCCCCCCCCTGCTGACCACACCCCTCTCTCCTGCAGGCTCCAACTGAGCTTTAGGGCCTTGTCGTTCTCTGGGATGCATCTGGGGTGCGTTTGATTCGTTATTCCTGTAGTGGGACTGAGGCGGGAGGTGCATTTGATTCTGGTGGGATGTTCTGCTGCGGGAGGGGGGCAGTCTGGAGGGGTTGTTGCTGCGCTGAGCTGAGGAGAGAGGGAGAGAGGAATGGGATGTAGAGGGTTGGACGGATGAAGGTGAAGGAGCTCCTCCTCGGTTCAGACCTCCTCCCCCTCCTCCGCTCTGCCAGGATCGGACCGGTCGCTCTCCTCCTCCGTCTCTCCACCGCTTGTCTCTGCTGGGAGACACACTCTGTCTGCAGGAGACAAAAAGACGGCGGCGTTCAGATTCAACAGGTTAAACTCCTGCAAGTGAAAGTGGCTTTAAAGAACCGTCCTTATAGACATTTGTAAAGTTGTGAACTATGGCCAGAAACGTGTTTTGTGACGTCACAGTGTGACAGTTGGTTTTCATACAACACTGAAATAAACGGCTGTAAATTATAGCATCACAGTGAAATGGCCCGTTCCTTGTCTTTCGGTGTTATTCTCAGTTAAAGCGGAGCTCACCTGGGCCGGCGCTGTCTGTACGGCCGGTCTCCGTGGCCACCGCCGTTTCGGATGTCATAACCGTAGATGGCGATGAGCTCCTCGCGGCTCTTGGGCGCCTGCTCCTCCTCTCTGAACTTGTCGTGCTCCCAGCGACCCTCGTCTTTCCACAGCTTCCTGTTTCGACCTTTAGGTCTGATGGGACACAGACAGGGACATGAGACGAAGTTAAAGGGACATTCCACTGAAAACCCCGACTGTTCTGAAAAGAAGCAACAACAAGCTGCACAAACACTGATGGATCAACACAGCACTGTGATCGCAGTGGATTCAAAATCACCTTAAAATTGATTGTTTCATTTTTAATTTTGGGCCAAATCAAATCTAACTAAATGACATACAACCTTCCAGGTTTGTTTCCTGATGGAAGATTATGTTATTTATTATATTACCTTACTCCCTCTAAAAATCAGATAGAAAGTGCACCTCTCCTCCTCCTGAGCGTGTCCTCTGACGTCGTGCTCGAAGAACAGACCCTTCCTGGGGATGTAGGCCGGGTTTTTCCTGTCCTCGTCATCGTCGAGCTGCTGACCGGCTTTTCCTCCCGCCTTCGTCTCGGGATCGTCTGTGGACTCCTGCGTGTGTTTGAATCAGTTACAACATGGTGACATCGTCCAACAGCTCTACTGTCTGCTGACTCAAAATGATCACGTTTAATCAGTAATTATTATGTGTATATGTTGGACAAAGGTATGATCATGAGAAGCAGCTGCTGAGTTGTGGAGGGGGCCAAAATGTGTGTTGACTCAGATCCAGGGAGAACGAGCAGTGGCTCTACATCACACAGCAGAGGTTTGAATTTAATGGAGGGAGGTCGTCTGGTACCTGCTGTCCATCACCTCACCTTCAGTGAGCAGCACATCACAAGGAAACTAGAATCACCTCCTCGTGCTTGTATCCCTCCGCCACTCAAGTTACATCCCTGGTATCCAGAGCCAAATAAAATACTTATATATCTAATATATAAATATAATATAATATATTATAATATATTTGTGTGACATTTGGAGTAATAAAGAGTGTTTTGTGAGGTCACACTAGCCTCGACATTTGACCCCCAAAGTTTAATCAGTTCGTTCCAAGTGAACGTTTGTGCCAAATCTGAAGTTCCTTCAAGGTGTTACTGAGACACACAGATGAGAGAGCAGAAAACAAAATGGCTGCTGCTTCGACTGTCGCTGACACAGAGGAATAAAAAGTAAGAGTGTAAACATAAACCACTACGTAACAGAAAACAGCAGCAGCAATCTTCACATTGCATTAGCAGTCTAAAAACACTGGGTCATAAAAATCTGCTGTCGGCACCTAAACTAAACAGTCAGCAGCACTTTGATTCATCCTTCAAGAAAACATTCTCCAGTGTGTTACAGCCTGTTTTCTCGCCTTTAGACTAATACTCCAATCTGTGGTATGACACTGCACACTGTGCAAGTCTTGGTCTCAGCCTGCGTCAGGTGGTCCTGTGTGTGTGTGTGTGTGTGTGTGTGTGTGTGTGTGTGGAGAATCACAGCGTGGTGATGTAAAGAGGAGCGAGTGTGAGAGCAGAGACACGTCATTGGCTCGTCGTCCAGTCGCACTGCTGTGACGTTTTCCTTCTTCGACAGAGACACACAAACTGTTTTTCCTTTCTCCTCCACCTCTGTGGTTTGTGTGTGTGCGCACGTGTTTTTCCCCCAGAATCTTTCCTCACAAATGGCACATTCGACATATTCTGCATAATTTCCTGTCATGCTGTGATTGGTTAGTTTGCAGTCCCACTGACGTGCCTCACACAGCGTTAAGATCTTTAATCAGCTGACTGTGCTGCAGCAGTGTGTTTGTCATATCCTGTTGTAGTTCAAATCTCTGCTCGATTATAGAGATTCACCTCGACATCGTCACTTTCACCTGTTTTGTGCCACAGCTGTTGGGTTCACTGAGTCTCACCTGGCCGTCGCCGCTCTGTCTCTCTCCTGCTAGATTTCCTTTCTCCTCAGGTTTGCTCTCCTCTTTACTCTGTCCTCCTCCCTCCCCCTCCGCCTCCTCCTCCCTCTCGCCCTCCCCTCCCTGTGCTGGGCTGTCGGCAGCAGGGGGTTTGGGCTCGGCGGCTGCTGCCGGAGCTTCTTCGTCGCTGTACTGCTCGGCCTCCTCTTCCTCCTCCACTCCCTGAGGAAACAGAGGAACAACAGTTTAGCCAACGATATTTAGCATTTTATCCTGATTGAAAATACAAGACTGTGGTTAGAACTGAAGTTAACAAAATAAAACGTTGTGCTGTAAGCTGGTTTTAGCTGAAAAAACAAACTGCTATCAGCTTCTTCTTCACTCTGGTTTCAGTCTTGAACAGACACATTTTATTTTCTAAAACTTCACAGTTGTAAAAGTGTATAGTGAAAAAGTTGTTCACACTCTCTCTATTTCCTGAGTTACAGCATTGAATAATGGTCAGAGGTGTTGTTGAGGAACATTATGCTGTCACAGTGAAGTTGACCTTTGACCTATTGGATATAAATTGCCATCGCTTCAACACTTTATCCTGTTTGACATTTGTCTTAAACTGTGTCATAATTGGCTTCTCAAGTTATGGCCAAAAATGTGATTTGTGAGGTCACAGTGATCTTGAACTTTGACCTTTAACCACCAAAATCTGATCTGTTCGTTCTTGAGCCCGAGTGAACGTTTGTACCACATTTGAAGAAGTTCCCTCCGGGCGTAACTGAGATATCACCTTGATGAGAACGGGACAGGCAACCTGAAAACAGGATATCTCTGCTGCTGCTAACGAGCTGACAGAGCATTTACTTTGAGCGTCGCAACTGCAAACAAAATGAGTGTCGTCGGTTCCTAAATCCTGATCTGAGGGACGTTAGTGTGAGAGGCATTCGGATAATTATTCATTATACAATAAAATATTTTTCATTGCAATGTCAGAAAAAAAGGATTCATAAACTCCTACTTCCCACATCTCAGCATTAAGACTTTTGAGAGATTGTTTTAAGACATTTCTACCTCTGAGTGGGAACCGTTCTCCTCTGGATCGGCACTGTCGTAGTCAGAGAGGACAGCTGGACAAGAGGGCAGACAGAGGAAGATTTGAGTGTCAGAAACTGAGGCAGCAACAGGATTCACAGCCATTCTACAACAGCTGGGTATAAGACTGTTGAATATGTTCCCTCTACAATAAATAATAATAAATAATACAATAAAAAAAGGAAAAACTAAAATTACTGTCTTTTAATCTACTTTTTATGTTATTAGTGTTTGCAGCTGTTTTCATTTTACAAGGTTGCGCGTTGGGTTCTAAATGTTGCTATGAATGTCTTACCTTCTCCCACTCCATCTTCACTCTCCTGCAAAGACAAAGACAAAAAGAAGGAATCAGCTCTGTGTTAATCTCCAGGAAGCACAAAAAGCTCAGCTGCACCATCGAACTGCTCAAACACTTTCACACAGTTACACCAGGAGCTGCCTGCTGAGAACAACTCTTTATCTTCTGTAGATAATTGAAGAGCTTCGTGTGAGCGATTCAAAGCTTTGCTAAAGGCATTTTAGAAGAAGCTCCCAAGTAGTCCGTCAGGCCTCAGCGTTTGGGAATTTGAGGCAGCTCTGTTGGAAAACTAGATATAATGGTTGGAAAGCTCAGCAGTGACATCTATTGGTTAAATTGCATCAACATCGACCCCCCACCTCAGGGTCGACAAAGCACAGCCGACGAGCATCCCGTCTTCAGTAATGCCTTTAGAACAAAAACAGCCAGAGTCACGGCCAACAGCGTTAATGTGCGCCTGTCATACATTCAGCCCCCAGGCCTGACATCTGAACACTGCAGCTGGAATACACAGGCCTACTTGTCATTCTGATTTTTCCTTTGACTGCAACAACTTTCCATCTTGGGCAGGATTTCAACACCAGTGCGCTCCTTTAAATCAAATCACACTTACAAAATCTGAATTAAAAACCTGTTCTATTGGACATTCAGGCCAAAATCAACGTTGTGTTATAAACAAAACAAAAATACAACCGGCATTGTTGTTATGGGTACAGGTGCACCGGGGTTTCATTTGGAAAGGTATCCATCCAATGAAAAGAGAAATTACACCATGGCTGTCTGTAAGTTCAGAGTCCAGAATAACTGGAAATTATCTAGGTCTGATAAGGAATCATAGGGTCTGTGAACGCTGCAAAGATGTCTGGGAAAATCATGAAAACACACTAAACAAAAGGGAAAAGTACTTGCAGCTTACAACTCCTATTTAAACCATCCATCTACACTCAACTTAACTATTGGAGTTGCATGAGCCAAAAGTAACTTGTAAATAAGATGTCTTCCTAAAGAATATCTTCCATCTCTTTAAGTAATTTAAGTTGCACCTCATTCTTGATGGGAGCCGTTGTTTTGTTATTATTGTGCTGTATTTCATATTTGTACTCCCTAAAACATGCACTTTGCAGCATTTGTATTTGGACAACTCATTCACTATAAGCCACTGCTGACCTGTTTATACAGCATTTATATGTCACCAGCAAACCTCTGTACCTGAGGGTGTCACCTTTTGACCATGTGTGGACCCAGTGGTGAAGCACTTGCAGCTTTTGATTTAATGCACGTTTGTTGGAGGTGGGGTGGGGTATGGGTTAATGATGCACTTCTCATTACCAAACAGATCTACGTACCAAACGAACCTCAACCCAAACCCCAACCAGTTATCTTCTGGGATACCGTACCTGACCCCTTATTAGTTTTCTCTGCTACGCCAAACCACAAACACGAAGGATGAGCCAGTAGAAGACATCATGTTAATGGCAGGGGAGTCGCCTTCGACAGCTGACCGGGTCTCAGTCGAGGTTAACGCGTGCTGGACGTGGCAGACTCACACGATGGAGCGGTAGCATTAGCGGGGCCTGGCTGGACACTAGACTAAAATGTACTTCCATGACAGCCCACCAACACCTCGTGAACACCTGCGTGCACACACAGCCTTCCCAGCTGGCAATTTAGGAGCAAACCGTTTCTTATCTTCGTTAAACCTGAGGCAGTGTAAGGTAACCGAGAAGACACCGGCGCCGGTGTTATGGCCACATTTGCAACCCGTGTAAATGTGTCCCAACTGGCGCCTTTTCGTCTTAGTATCACCACGGGAACCAGAGGAACAATAGATTTATCAGCGCAGACAGTTGGCCTTATAAACTGTAAATGTAACACACTATAATGTATTAAGAAAAGAATACATTTCCGAAGTCTCCGGGAAGATTTGAAGTGCTAACGGTTAAATAGCTAACTTGTCTGACGTTAGTTCCCTTCAAGCTAACACTGAACAAACATCAAGTTGTTTATGTCAGGGGTCAAATCTACAGATAAATAATCCGCTGTTGATGCCTCCACGGTAACAACAAATCAAAACAAGGACTCGGCCTCCAGGAAAACTTTTACTAGAGGCGGTATCTGTCCCAGCTCTTGGTCGGACATGGAACCCTGAGCTCGCCGAGCTAACGTTAGCTCCGGGAGTTAGCCGTTACTCACACACTCGGACTCAACGTCGCTCTTCGCCTCGGGGCGGGCCACTGTCGCCTCCGCCGGGTCGGGATCCCTCCCCCGGCTCTTGGTCGCCGGTGACCCCGATCTCCCGCTGTCCGAACCCGAACCGGACTCGTCGTCGTCCTCGCTGTCCTGGGACGCGCGCCTCCTCCTTCGCCGCCGGTCCGCCATCTTAGAGCTCGAATGGTTGGAACCGGAAAGAGGCAAAGAATTGTGGGTGGTGAAGTTCTTCTTCGTTAGGGTTTTAAAAGCGGCATCAGACTTCTTCTTTTTATTTAACGCCATCTCCTGGAATTTTAATCTTAAACATACTTTTTTAATGTGTTTTAAACAGATGAACAGGACAAAAACGCCAAACAAGAGACACGATACAAATTATAAAGTTATGAAAGTTATAATTTAATAATCTATAATAATAATAATGACACACAAAAAGACCATCGAGAGATTTCCTGTGAATGCAGAGGGGAGGAGCAAGTGAAAGTGTTCAGTGTTAGTTCAGGCTCCATTTTGAGTCGTCGCAGCAGGAGGGAAACTGATGCCTTAGGCGAGTGAGTGTAAATACAACATTATTATTATTTTACTGTGAAAGTCTCAGAGTCAGTTTCTCCCTGTGGACTGTGGAGGGAAGAAGAGTCAGAGTGAACTTGTGTCCACACAAAGACACTGAGAGAAAAGGAGGGAACAACATGCGCTGTGGTACTTCCTGTTCTCTGCGTCAGAATCAACAGTCTGACTCAACGTTGTGATGAGCTGAATAATACACATGAAGACTGAGCAGGTGGAGTTTATTATACTGTATATTCTGTTAGTGTGTGTGTTACTTCCTTTTCTCTTTATGTTGCATGTGACTCTTGAACAGATTGTCTTGACTCTTGTGTGTCTGAGCTCACAGTCAGTGTTACTGGTTTCCCTCTCAGACTGACTGAAGTCCTGAAGATGAGTGATGGTGTGGAGGAAGAGGAGGACGGAGCAAAGTCTCCAGGATCCATCTGTCTGTCTATGAAGAGTGACTGGTCCAAAGGACATCTTCCAGACTTCAGTGATGAACCTGGACCCTCAGACTCACAGTAAGAGACCTGCTACAAACCCGTGAACCTCCAGACTGTGACAGTGTTTAGTGTGTTGAGGTCCTGCAGTGACGTCACAGCTTGTAACAGGAAATAAGTTCCTCCTGGTTCTTGTGGCTTATCAGTGTATTAATACTAACTGCTCAGGTCGCTTGTTTCTTGTGAAATGAATCAGATATTAAACAACATTTTAACTTTTTTCTTTTCCACATTCTTCCTGCAGCTGATGAACATGACAGAGATTTAAAGACATCAGTAATTAAAGGGTGGTGCGGTGAACCTTGATGAGCTGGGATCTAACAGAGTTTGCAGGATCATTTTACAGCCTGAATGATGAAGAGTTTCACATGTCAGAGGTTCACTGTAGACACTGTTTGACCAACAGCATTTGGATTTGTTAACTAAGGTGATGTATAATTGATGAGGAAACCAGATTCATTAGTAAAGTTACTAAATGCAGTAAATAGAATCAGTTCAGGTTGAGCGCTGAGTCTGGTGATTGTCCATATTTTTCTTATCACCAATAAATCCCATGTGCAGAGCCAAACCTATCACAGCCTGATATAAGTTATTCCTCTGAGCCATAGAGCTCCATGTTAAAAGACATCAGTGAACCACACTGTCGAGCGGCTGGGTTTCATATGCTTGTTAAGCTGTTATGGAATATAATTTTTTTTTAACAAATATCTTAAATCATTAAAACACTTTTTAGATATTTCTGTGTGATTGAATATGACGTTTTTGTGAATCTTTCGGAGCTGATCATGTATTTAATCTTGATTCTGTATTGATCCTATCAGCTCTTTGGTATCTGGCCACTTAAAGCTGGAGTGCAGAGCTTTTTACATATAAAGGAACGTGTGTGAAATCCAAACCTTTGTTAAATGAGTTCTCACAGAGCTGATTAACCCTCTAAGCTCCAGGTAAATCTCTGTATTCTGCAGTATAGCTGCCTTTTAATCTGCTGTCTGTGGTGACTTTCCCTTACTGGCGCACCGGTACTGATGCATTTGAAGTCAATAAGGAAAGACTGATTTAGGAGAGCTGGAGAGGCGAGTAACAACAGAGAGTAACCATCATTTTACCAAGCGTCCAAGAAAAGTTCCTGATTCTCCAGATAAAAGAAACTCTCAGAGGAAACAGAGGAAACTGGTGTGGCTTTTCCTGGTTGGAGAGCGCTGAAGAAGAGAGGGGACTGATGGTGTTTGTAAAATACTTGAGATAGGCTATTTAACTATGACATTAACTTCACCTGAATAATGACTCATCATCTTGGAGCTGATTGATAGTGTTGCTGTGATTACTCTCACTGCCAGAGGGGGAGACACTGAATGATAAAGTGTCACTCCAACATGGAGACACTGTGTTTTCTCCTCTGTCCTTCTGTTGATTGACAGGTCTACAGACTGGTGGAGCACACAGAGCTGTTGACATGAAATCAGGCTCGTGTTCATGCAGCCACTTTCACACTGACTGAGGTTCATGACACAGTAACACTGAGACGCTCTGCTTTATAATATCTGATGCAAAAACTGTGTGTGCATGTTTCTGTCTAGAGTTTTTGTTGTGACCAACACAGAGTTTATGAATCTAGCTCCTGGTTTCTCCCTGTTTTCTTCACATGTGTCTAATAACTGATCATCTTCAGCTCAGTTTACAGTAGAAACAGTCTCTTACTGTGAGTCTGAGGGTAGGTTCATCACTGAAGTTTGGAGGTTTTCCATTGGACCCAGTCACTCTTCATAGACAGACAGATGGATCCTGGAGACTCTGCTCTCAGTCTGTGGTTCTGACCTCTGCAAACACAAACATGTTTTTTTATTCATATCACATCGATCACTGATCAATTCTCTGATGACAGAGTCGATGTGGGAACTCTCAGCTGACGTCACCATCCAGCACCACACACTGTACTGAAGGATGGAAGCAACACAGCTCAAGAAGCAGAGTCATACAAAGGTGAGATGAGAGGATCAGATGTCTGTGACCCGACACCGCTCAGCATCTGTATCCTCAACCTCAGCTCCACTGTGTCAACTCTGGATCTACCTGGTTACACAGTCCTCAACAAAAGACAGTGGACAAACACACAGAGAGAGCAGAGTCACATCTGCATGAATATCACTGATGGTCTTGTGTGTAATTAAGGATCATTCTGATGTTATTCTACATTTCTGTTCTTGACAACAAACTCATGAAAAGACCCAAATCAACAGAGTGTGTGTCTCTCAACATTTCCTGTTGTGTCTCTCAGCTCGGAGCTCATTGGTTCCTACTGAAGACGTAAAGCTTTAAAAACACTCACAGATATTATACTTTCATTTTTTAAAAAGTCTCAGTAATTTTCCTCAAACAGCTGCTCACTGTCGTTTTATCAAACAAACAGGAGGAAACATATAAAACATCAGTTGGGGACAAGGGGTGGACTGGGACAAAAATTTAGCCCTGGCATTTTCTGTCCAGACCGGCCCACACATTATCAGCGGACACTGCATAGAAGTCCACTAATCTCGCAGCATCTTCTCTCATGCATACTACAAAGGAGAGTCATATTCCTTGATAGCAGTTAACAAATAAAGCACTTAACTATGAACTCGAGGACTAAAATTGACAGCTATAGCAATAATCAATCAATCTTTATTCATTATAGTGTCAAATCACAACAGAAGTTATGTATGACTAGGGGTGGGACGAGACTAACGGGAAGAACCTTATGCTCCCCTTTCAGTTTTTAGTCTGTGAAAACAAGAATAATGTATAAGATAAAAGATTAGTTCATATTGAACGAAACATTCGCAAGCGTAAATTAGTGGCTTTGCCACGTTTTCATGACACTTACTAGTGTTTTCCAATGCAAAAAGTCAGATCTTTGTCACAATACCTGAAAATGCCAAGACAGCACTATAAAAGCCATTTGAAAACTACAGTAGAAGTAACACATTTACACAGAATTAAAGTTACACACAAATTATGAAATAGTTTAAAAGATTAAATAAATTCAATGGCAAATATTGCAAATTAAACTAATTATTTCCTATAGGTTTACTTGTAATTTGTGCTAAAATTCAAAGTATCTCATCTGTATTTACAATACATCTTTGTTTCTGCATCTCTACTTACAGCTCATTGGTCCATGTGAATGTTTACTGTTGCTATGGCAACAAGAGGCTGCTGATATTAGCAGTCTTAGCTAGCTTAGCTAAATCATCTGAACAATAATAACATAATATCAATTCGGCATATTTAATAAACACAACTACCAACATTCACAGCCCTTCAACTCTGGGCTGTTGTCACAAGTAGGACTATGCAGTTCATTAGGGTCACATCACATTCAATGTAAAAACGTTTCCTTCTTTGTTTTAGACATGTCTCAAAAATGTAGCCTAGCCAGCCCAGGCTAACGTTACTTACCATGTATGCCTCCACTCGCTCGTCTCCCGGCGCAGCAGCACCTGCTGGGGTGGTGACCCGGCACCAGATAGGTCCATCAATTAGAATATTTAGCAGCTCCACACTCCAAGACTTCAGCTTTTTTAAGTTGCAGTTTTTTCAGGCGCCACCCGGGGCGTTACTACCGCTTATCCATTTTCAGCTCAGCAGCAGCCCGTCTCGCAACTGCGCAATGCCGTGAGGTCCGCCCACCTGGTTTGTGGTTGTGATTGACAGCACTGTCAGGGCTCTCTGAGCCTGTCAGCCCATGATTGATTGACAATGACAAACAATCACCGATAATATGTGTTGATGCTGGCAACACAACTGAGCCTCTGTAGCAATCGGCCAATTGGAGGGAATTTAGAGAAAAAAAACAAAAACAAAAAAACATAGCGGGACTGGACCGGCCCCATTGGGTCAACGGCCCACCGGGACGATGCCGGTATGCCAGATGGCCAAGTCCACCCCTGGTTGGGACTATTTTCAGCGGCGGATGAATCCACATTTGGTGCTGTAGTGAGTATTTGGGGCAGCAGGACGGAGTGTGTGGGACTGGGTCTGATAAACGACAGTGTGTGTTATGATAATGAAGGACATGTCACCCAGTGACAGTGTGGTTCACTGATGTCTTTTAAATTGGAGCTCTATGGGCTCAGAGGAATATTATATCAGGCTGTGATTAGGTTTTTTTTGGCTTTGGCACGTTGGGA